ATGATAGATTTCAACTTGGATTAAAAGCAATTTCTTCTCCAAAAATGGGGTGCAATCACAAAATCAGTTCCTTAACCACTTGGAGCTGTTGTGAAGCTCATTTATTTATGATGTGTGCTTTACAGACATCTACAGGAAAACCCAGGAGTTGTTAATGTTTGTGTCACTTGTATTCATCCACCCCGCCTCCAAAAAAATAAAATTGTCTTGGATCTCCCATGTGCAAAAGATAATAGTTGCCCCATGAATACCTGTGACCTGGTCCACCAGGATGCGGGAGGTGATGATTCGGCCGTACTGAGAGAACAGCTGCTCCAGCTCCTTCTGAGTCATGGTCTTGGGCAGCCCGCTGACGTACAGGTTAGCATCTCGGATTGAGGCCGAGCTGGGCCGTGCATACGACACCTGCAGAACAACACAGGCAGCTCAGCCAGTCTGGTAGAACACGTTGCTCGCTTCACAAAGTTTGTCACCGGCATTTAACAATGCACAACTTTTCACCTAGTTTATTTCATAAGAAAAGATAAATGAAATGAAAACAACTGAGTGAGATCTGCAATATGATTAAAATCAAGGTGTGCTTGAAAAATGAGCCATGTTTTTTTAAACGATAGACATAACTGTTTTAAATCTATCAGATAACACCGGGCACTTTTGTAGACTGGATAAGGGTTTCTGTGTAATGTGAAGTCAGGTGTCAGAAATCAAAGATGGAGGGAATCCTGGCTGGAAGCTCTCTGGAAATATCTGCAATTATAAATGTGTTGCACCATCAGATATCACCAGATTGCCAGCCAGGATTCCCTCCATATACACTGATGCACTAACTAGTACCTTGGACAGCGCCTGCAGCAGAGACCTCACAGATACACAGGATGATGAGAAAACTAAAACATTAACATCAGGTAATCGTCCAGTAATGATCACTTCAGCACTCATCCATACCAAATTCAAGTTTTTTCCCCCTAATGAATATAATGTTATAATTACAAGTAAAGAGCTTTCTAATCTTTCAATATACTTGAGATGTCTCTCCCAAAGGATACCATACTGTATTTTAAAAGTATGTCATTTGTTATGGCATCGTAGCTATATGTTGTTATTTTAATTTAATTATACACATTAGAAAATTGATATTTCCTTGCCCCACCACAACGACTGCCTTCTGGGATGAGTAATTCTTGTTTTCTGGACTGCATAAATATGAGATATTGATTTCGTTAGATACTAGAAGATCGTGTCTTGTAAGTAATGCTTTTTGTTGACTGACATGTTCAGAGTTGTCTTTAGCAGAGGTGAGAAAATGCTGGTCTTTTAGGACACGTGCCTTCCAAACAATAAGGTATGGCATTGATATTCTATGTGTTTAAAGGATGAATGTGATCCAGAAATTGCTGTGATAATATTACAAATTGTGCACATTACTGAAACATTTGCATCTATAAATAGTACTTATTTTATCAGGCTCAATTTGACAAACATTCCACATCTCTGTGGCCAATCGAGGATCAAAAAAGTAATCCTAGAAAGGCCAGGGCTCATCTAAGCTAAACTATAAAGCATAGAGCATATTTCATTAACATCACGGCCAGTTGTGGATCAAATGTCCGTGTTGGAAAGCTGTACACAAAGAGGAAGAAACTCCTTAATGGTTTCAGCAGAGGAAAGGAAAAGCACGGCACAGAACAATCATCTGCCGTTTCATCTCTAACTTCCAGATCCAGATGTCTCTATCAACACCTTGGCTGCTTCCGCTGACTTGGTGTTGCCTCCTTGCACTGGGCTGCGGTCTTCACACCTCAACCCGGGGCGCCTCTGAGAGGCACTTCACAGGAAGGCGGGCTGAAAATTGCACTGCTAACTCCGAGGTGCTGCGGAGGCGAAACCTGCCCCCCGAGCCACCTGTGAAGTTTGCGTTTCGAGAACACCAAAGGCTGGTGTGTTTCTTAAATAATAAAACAAAGGGGAACCGACTCTGTTTCGCAGGATAGCTCTGCTACCGATGGGAAAAAATGGGCTTTGAGCTTGAACAAGGGGAGTGAAATACTGCCTTCAGCTTTGAGTGACAATTTCCGCAGGTTAGCCCACTGTCAATCTGTCGATGACATAGACCCAGAAATGGGTTATAAAGCATTTTTTAAGCAATCCCAGCTGTTATCACAAAGGTAAAGTGTTATTTTTGGATAGCATGGAAAACATAACCAATAAATGAGATGTAATAAAAAGTGCCTGTCAGTCTTTTCAGGGTATACATGCTGTATACCCACAAGATGATAACTGCTGATATACTTACAAAGTTGTAAGAGAATTCTCCTCCTAAGGATGATGTAGAGTTGAAAATGAGATCTACAACCATACACAAAAATTGCTCCTGCCTCATTTTTGCAAGAAACCCTCATGGACCAGTCATTTCCAAACCTCAACAAATGCTGTACACACTCTGTTTTGACAGTGCTGTTCAGGCATAAAGTGCAATCTTTAGTAGGACTGAAAGTCAGAAGCAGCTGTGCGAAATGATCTTTTTTTGCAAGTTTCGAAACCCATATGCTCTGCCTTCCTGAAGACACTGTCAAGGAAGCAACATGTGATAACTGTCAGGGATCCAGATGCTTTGGTGAATTTCTGGTGCTTACTTATGCAGAGGGACTTGGCAGTGGGAGCATGAGTGCATTCCCAAAAGAGCTGTTTATTGGAAATGTGTATTTCACATTTCATTCCAGGTATTTCTCCGTCTATGCAAAGTTAACTCGGGTTTTCAGATTAATGCATGATAAACAAAAATAGACAAACAAGTCTGGTTTTCATAACCATCTCGAGCACTCTGAGCATGGCTGACTTCAGAACAGATCCAGGTAGTTTCAAGTTCTCTAGTTAACCGCTTCTGATTTCTCCTGCTGGGAACTTTATCTGAGCGACCCTGTTCTGTTCAGAGACAGAGATACTGTACTACAGTACAGTACAGTATGTGGCCCCCACTGCATATGCTCCAAAATCTCGCTGATAATTCTTCATTCTGAAACAGGAACATGAACAGCTCAAGTGAGGCCTGTTCTGGCCTGTACAGAGACTATTCCTTTCCATCCTGTTCAAAAGAGAGCCACTAGCATTAACAGGAAGCTCTACCATACTGTTGGGACCAGGCAACACCCCTTCTCTTCTCACATCAATAATCACCTGCAGGCATAGAAAAGCCAAACTTTTGCTGAATTGCTTTATTTTTATCCCACCCAGTCAATCGCCATTTGGTTCTCAATTATAAGCAACATTTAATTAGCACTTCGAGATATCCGTCAGGCTCAAGTAAAGTTTATTATGTGCATGATTTCACCTTTATATTTTGACATTTAAAGCACATTTACATACTGGTTACACTCCGCGGCTTTTAGCGCCTTACTTTCTTTGATTTCCAAATCCTTATGAATGTAAATTAGCCTCATATGAGTAAACCCCCCCCCCCCCCCTCCAACTTCCGTTTCTTTCCATCTGAAGCCTCGAAGATTGACAGCCTCCTGGCTACGGGCATCTAAGACTGAACCCTCAGCTTCCACCTGGGTCTTGACTTCCGTCAAAGGCTCAATCAAGAGCTTTGCAAAAACAGGAATGTCAAAAGAGAGAAAAAAAAAAGGCTCGGATAAAAACTTGCACGCAGCCTTGCGCCGTCGAATTAATCCTTGAACTTGTTTGTTTTGAAATGCTGAAGATGTTCTCACTGCAGAACCAGACAATAGAGTGGCACAGATTAAAATTGATTCCCACCCAGCCCCCCTCCTTTCGCTGGCATTTACGTCTTTAAAAAAGCCTGTTTTTTTTTTTCCACAGATGAAAAAAAAAAAGATTTGTGTTTGTTCTCAAAAGGAAGAAGCATTATAATCAGCTATTTTTTCAGTCCATCTGTCTGAATTACCATTAAAAATGGCACTTATGATTTCCTGTTGGCAAATTGTATCTTCAAACAGACTTACAATGCTTTAACTCCTCTTGGACGTTTGTTCCCAAACAGCAGCTAAAAACAGTGAATTTTGGATATCCAGAAATAAGAAGGAGTAGGGGAAGGATACTCATTTTGTTTCCTGATTTATAACTATGATTTACTAGCATGCTACATTGCCACGATAGAAGGAATTAATGTCAAAATGCCCTTTTCCCTCATTATAAAATATTGCAAAATATTTGTTAGAAGAAATGATAATACTAAATGTTTTTTACTGGTATGGAAAATATCATGAACTGTTGGTGGTTGCACTGTAGGCTTTTCAATAGGGCAAATTTAATGTTGTTTCTTTCCCTTCTTCCATATATCATGTGTCTGACATGATAGTTTTGCTTAGCAATGCCAGTGTGAAGTATGCACTGTATATTTTGTTGTATCAGCAAAGTATTGTAGCAAAGTCTCAGAGCAATATTAATTTCTGACAGTAACACAGGTACAGATCATCTTGCCTGAGAAAGTTAAGGTTTTTGCAGAATCACTCAACTCCATTTTATTAGCCCATACAGTACATTAAAACTACTGAAATATTGTTTATCTGGTTCTGATCAAGTCACAGGTTACAGCTCAACGAACAAAATGACTTAAATCTTTTTTGAGATTTAAGGTTGAACAGAGAAGTAAAGAGCAAAACCTTGTGGAATTATGCAGCTCCTGAGCTTGGAAAATTGCCATTGTACTTTCATGCTATTAAACCATTATTGAGACCTGGGGTACGTCTATTGTAAATGCTTTTCATATTTTGGTCAATGATTGTACATTTCTGTTATTGTCAGTCTATCCTTCTGTTATTGCTCTATGGATATAAAATTACCTATACTTGTAACCTGAGAATGCCACCTTTGATTATCTTTAATAGCATGTCTCAAGATTCCCTTAAGCACATTGTTTATTTTCTGCAACCCAGCACTTATTTCCTACCATTGTTTCTATTTCAGTTTCATTGGGGGTTCCTTTAGGCTGTCAAAGTCAGTCTTGTTCAATCTCAGATATGGCTCTAACATAGTGTATGCTAGTGTAACACTTATCAGTTTTTACACTTTCATGAAGCTTCATGATAATGATGGTATTTATAAATTATTCCGTTCTTACACCTTTAAGGCACGTTTTAACACAAAGGTTTGTGGGAGTTACTAGTATGACTTGTGTTTTTAACTGAAATATTGAATAATTGGAAAAAAGGTTCCCATGGCTTTTTATGACACAACAGGAATATAAGTCTATGGTTTAAAAAATATTCCATGTTTTTTGTCTGTTCCTCCAATATTTTAACAGAGTCCCTCTGCTTCTGTAATATGAGCTGATCATGAACATGGTGGAACACTGCATTATTGTAATTCTGATAAGTAAACAGGATCTATTTTTTCTCAAGCTGTTTTTATTTGTGAGAACTTGAAACAAAATACAAAATAATTTCTTTTTTCTATGGGACATAATTATGGAGCCATTAAATTAATACCTTTTTCCCTCACATGTTTTGAATCATGTGAAGATATGTGACAATCTCAACACTGCTTCTACACGTTTTCACTCTTTTATTGATGCTTCAGATAATTTGTGTTTTCTGCAAGCTTCCCACTTAGAATTAACGTTAGTAAGTGGAGAATTTCAGCTTCCTGTGCCTTCCTGTATCTTATTAATTGGAATTCCACAACCCATTATCACTTTAACATCAATCAGACCTGGACACTCATACAATTGCCAATTGCAAGTGATTCTCTGTCACTGTTAATGTGCCAGTAAAACATGACCTTTATATTATTTATTCTGAATGTGGTTTTATGAATGAGTAAAAAAGACATGCAATTTAATGGGCACATTTTATGAATAACCCCCACAGTAAGTTATTTTCTTTGTAGCATGCAGATAACTAGCTGGGCTGCAGCTCTTTGCCCTTTGTACAATATTTCAACCAGTGCTGCACACTTGAGGTGTTGTTTTATTCACTGCTGAAGTACAACTGGTGATGGGAAACATTAATCTCTGTTGTTCAAAATCAACATTTTGTTGCAGCCATTTTATTAAAATAAAATGACTGCAATCATTGAAAGGACACTAGAAGAAAATAAAAAAGTGACTTCATTTACTCACTTTAAATTTAAAATTGCCTTTGAATGTGCCTTCCCATCCTTAAATGAGAGCAGACTGCCTCTTAAGTGAATACAATGCTTCTGGCATAAGAGCAAGATCTGATTCAGGGTTTCTAAAAGCAAATGTGTAAGTAAAAAAATGTTCTGATCTGGCAAGAGATAATTCACATATGCAAAACAGAAAGGGAATTCATTTTCATTATTTAGGCGTTAGAAGGGGTTTACCACAGGGTAGAGAATGTGAGAAATATAGCATTGGAGCAACAATCTTTGAAAATACTAATGAAAACATACTGTAGCTGGAAGAGTCTGGTGGTTTATTATGTATGTTTTAGCTCATCCCATCAAGTACCGACTAATGACTTTGACATCAGCTTGGTAAGATGCAGAGTCTAGTGAACAGCCAATGAATAAAACAGGACAAATGTGATGACAAGTCCAGCAGCTAATGTTCAGCCTCTTACCTTGATAGTTTTGGTTTGAAGTCTCAGTCCATTTAACGTGTTGATGGCTTTCTCTGCGTCCTTTGGATCAATGTAGTTTACGAAGCCATAGCCCAAGCTCTGTCCTAGAATCAAACAAAGGGAACATTAGACACATCAGAAAACTCCCTGATAGTATCTCTCTGTTCCCTTGAAAGCAACATGGAGCATTAAGGTGTGTAAAAAAATGCTGCAAGACGTCCCAAGGGACCCCTGGAAAGAGATTTATGTGTATATGTGGAAAATCAGTCATAACTGAGCTTCAGTACAGAGAACATTGAATGGATAACGTGGGACACAGAAACAAACGAGGAAACTGAGATGTGAATATTGGGGCTTTTGAATTTCTTTTGGGAGGGAGGTAATAAGACATTGAACCATCACTCATAGAGGTTACTTTTACAGGTATAAGTAAGGTGCAGATGTCTGTTCTTGTCGCCTTTCAGAGAAAAAAGTAGAAAGAAAATCCAATATGAGGAAAGAACGAAGAGGCAAGAATGCTTGTTGCTGTGTAACTTGCTCTGTTCTCTGTTTGCGGCTCTCTGCAGGGCCAGGAATGACAGGCTCATCCTGCTATTCTCTGGCAGATCTCAGCTGAATGCCTGACTGCTGACTGTGGGATGGAGAGTGTCAGCACTCTGACGTCAGCCATCCTCACTCAGTGCAAGAAGGCGTCTCAGGGAATGCTGCGCAGCACCTGCCATTATTGGCACAAGAATGCGTAGAGTCATTCTCTACACAAGATCGCCATTTCTGTACGTGAAATCTGGAGACTGACCTAATGGTCATGCACAGGTTTTGCATTTCGTGGCTGTCTCTGTGGTTCAAAATTAGAAGGGGAAATGGGAGAGATAAACTCTCCGAGGCTGATTAATCTAGTAATTGTTCACTTCATTTATATTCATAGTCCTGTTTCTTCTGTGAAGGACTAAATGAGCTTCAGCTTTAATGGGAAAAATGCAGCTACAAAATCACTGGAACACCGAAATGGTTGATTGCTGTGTATTTACTGATGGACTTTTTCAAAAAAAAAAAATCTAACAGATCAATCCAGTTTAGCAACCTTTCTTTCATTTCTTTCATATTTTTTCAGACATCAACTAACTCCCCTCGTGCAAAATTCAAGGAAAGCAAACGGCCATCAACAAGACAGACCTCACTTTGAGAGCCAAGATGCAAATAAAAGTATGGCAGTGTGATTGTTTTAAAAATCTAGCCACAGAGCTTTGTCACGAAGAACTCTGCGCGGAGCAGTGCAGAGCATACAGTGCAGTTATCCTCGCTAATTGAAACAGACAGTAGTAAGTCTACAGTGTAAAGACAAAGTGAATCACAAATGTAGAACAGCAGTACTCAACCAAATAAACACAATCCAAACAGCAGCTTTGGGCCAAAAGGGAGCTGTATTTCTCACATCAAACATCATGCTGCTCCCTCACTTTCAATGGATTACCAAGGATTACCATTTCCCAGTGTTAATTAAAAACCCCCTGTCCTAAACTGCGACGGCTCCAGCTCCTAACTATTTTTAGTTTTCCCCCTCTGACACTGATCTGACTGCTATTAGAAATTTCCATTTTTTTTTTCATCAGAGTGTCTTGCAGGGCAATTCAGTGACATAGCTAACCCCTCGATTCCCTGGGTATAAGGCAATTAGTTAATACACAGCAGACTGTCACGGCCCCCTCTTTCCACCCTTTCCCCTGTGTTACTTCACAAGACTTGACAAGTGTAGCCTTACAAAAGGTTAGCCGAAATGAGGCGCACTTCTGGACTGTATTCACACAACACACTCTATGTGAGTTATACAGCATTTAATGATGTAGTCGCAATTCCCAGTGAAATGCAATCAAACTGCGGGGCTCTCAAGCACTTTTCCAGCACATTCTATTTCTGAGTTAAAGGGGACTGAGCCTCACAGACGTCACACTCCTTAATACACTGCACTCCAAGCCAACCCTCAACAAAGAGGCTGTAACAGAAGCTGCAATCACTTGAGATGCAGAGAGCTATCTGTCCCTTCATTTGTCTTTTCTTGGATACATTATAATGATTACTGCTCAGTCATCTCAAAATATGTCATTATCAAAATCCATCCTGAATTACATACCCTGCAGCCAACACATACATATCCACAGGTCATTCCTTAGTGCTTATGTGCGAAAGCTAACCTTTAATTGTTCCAAAGCCTTTTTCAAAGCACAATAATTTACAGCCCTTAGTAATATCTTTTTCTCCCTATACAAACTGAACAGCAGGATCTTTTTTGGTGTTTTCCCTTTGTAGCTCTCCACCAGTCCTGGGCTGGCTTGTCTTTCTCTACCTAATTGCCCCCTTGGCATTGCTGGCAGTCTGAGCGTGATGTTTCTCTGCTCGGCTCCCCCGGGTAGATTGAGAAGTAGGACAAGCAGCAGCAGCTGTTTCCTGAAGCGGCGTTTCCAAGGGGGGATTCCACCCACCGGCAGCCAGCCCCCATACCGGATCTCCACTCTCACCAGGGAAAGCAGCCCGGCTCTCTCCCGTCATCACGCGCGCACTGACACACACACAAGCTGGCAGTGACTTTTGAGTTTGATACCATACCTTGTTAAGACAAAAATTTGAGTGAAAATACCCAAACAATAAAAAAGCATAGGTCTTCCTATAGCAAATGTAACAAAAAGGTTTATTCCGTGCTGAAACGAAAAGAAAAGAGACACAACGTTTTGGCTGTGGAGCCTTCTTCAGGTGTCACACAGCTGAAAAGTTAGTCTCTTTTCTTTTGCTTTGGAATAAACCTTTTCCTTTACAAGCTATCCATGCTAACACAGCTACCTATTTGAATATAATAAAAAAGACAAATACTGTATGCCCCACTCCCTACCAATAAGACATTGTGCTCAATATTTACAAGTGAAAAACCAATTTCCAATTTATGTTCTCAAACACACACTCTTCAGTCGTTTATAATCCAGAAACTGTAATCTCATCTAGCTCCTCGCTAACGTCACAAACATCCTCACTGAGATCTTGTTCTTCCAGGTCTTATAGATGGTGGGTTTGGCATTGCCCAGCATGAAAGTTGTGAGGCAGGTTGTTTTCCTTTTTGTTTAACACATTCCACCCAACCACAACGATGGTAGTTCTGAGGACCAGGCTAAGGTCATTAAAGAGTTGGATCCGGACACTTAATGACACAGGCATCATCGGACTTGTCCAATGCCTGTTCTTTCTGTGCTCAGGGAAAGATGGAGTTCCATTCTTTTAAATGCATAGTGGCAAAAGGTAACACATTAGGATACAAACACAGATGCCACATACTGTGATACACAGTGAACTGCAGGGACATGTGTACAGTGCAAGGAAAGATAGAAAAACACAGGCTTGAGCAGACGTGCAGATGTCAAGAATCCCAATAGCATGTTACAAAAAGACACAGTTGAAGGCTAGGAAAGCAGAAGTTTATACTCATACTTCAACAGATTCCTGAATAATGTAACATACACGCACGCCTGCTAACACAAGTGTGCTGAGGAAAAACTGAGACACACTCACTTGTGGTTTAATCACATGAGAGACATGAAACCAGAATCCAGGCACAAATACTATCTGCACTTCAAAATGCAACAACCCACAGAATCCAGCGGAGATACACAGTATTGCAGACAAATCTTGCATATCTAACCTTATGCAGTATCTCCACAAAATGCACTGCAATAAAAAGGCTGCACAGCTGCAGATATGTCTGCTGACAACCCAGGTCTTGTCTTATTTACTATCCAAAAAATAACCACTTATTGGAAGAATGAGTGCTCAAGAAACAAAATGGAAATAATTGTAAAGTAGGTAGTTTTACTTATTACTATTTATCACACCAAGTAAATTAGTGAATAACATTTTTGGCAATGGATGACTCTTACAGTATGTCTTCAACAGTACTTCTGAGACTTGGGTTCTGATTAGTGGAAGTTACATGGATGGTGCACCACTTTATACATCAATCTATTAATCCATTTTCTAAACTCTATAAAATATCTAAAACAGGGTCATGGGGAGCTGGAGCCTATCCTGACAAGCAACCAGCACAAAACAGGATACACGCTGGATGGGACACTAGTCCACTGCACACAAAAAAAAACAAACACAGACACGCACACACTCATGCTAGAAGCCAATTAAACTACCAAGCAAAGATTGTGGGTATAGTATAAGAGCATCTGGATGAAACCCAAACAGACATTTGGAGAACATGCAAACTAAATTCACATCCGACCCTAGGTCCAGATTTGAACCCAGGGCCCCAGCACTGTGAGGCAACAATGTTAACTACTGCACTGTTGTGCTACCTATCACTTTATACAAAAAAAAATCTATATATTTTAATAACTTAATCACATGAGATGACATCTAACATACATGGTATACATAGTACATGGTAAATAAACCAAATAAAAAGTAAACTGAAGCTTGGCGATACAATTTGCAGAACAGCCTCTAAAATAGTTCTTGGGAAATCTGTTTATACAGTACAACTTGTCTTAAGATTTTTTTTTCCTGGCAACTGCAATGGCTCACTTGTTTAAATTAGGTTTCAGAACTTTTTCTGGGGAAAACACCTTATCTTAATTTATTGCACCCTTCAACATTTTAAGATGAACTCCCTAAGAGCAACCCAATATTAGCTGGCATGTGCTCCATGCAAAGTCCAAATGGCCGCGAACTTTGACTTTATTTGCACAAAAGTCGTAATTAGAACTCTCTTCAGACAGGTCCACCCCCCTCAGCATTGTGAGACTGCAAGAGCTAATTAGTATTCATTATCATAATTTATAAGGATTATGTACATACACACACACTGCAAGATGGTTTTCAGGCACACATACAACACTAACAGTGCATAGTGCTGTGACTAAAACCCAGTCTTCTTGAATTAAATATGCCCCCTTTTTCTTTGCACTGGAAAAAAAAAGCTTTTGTAATAATGGCTATAAGAACAGAAATGTCAGCTATTACCTACCCCCCTCTGTTCCCCTTTAGCGCACTCTTGAGTGGGAAGGAAAGCAACGCAGCACAGATTGTGGGCAAACACAGGCAGGCAGGCTTGGCA